TCTTGTTGCTGCATCGCTCCGTGATGATTTTGCTTTTGAACGCAAGGCAATTTACGAAACAACGCCTGTTTGGTATCCAGTATTTGAGCCAGATGGTGCTTCACTTTCTGGAACAGGTGATGCGTTCTTGAAATTACAGCAGGCGTTCCCTGATTATGTAACCGAAGAAAAATTTGCAACTATAACAGGTGTATAAGATGGAAGATGTTTCCGTTGAACTTTGGAAAAAAATAAATAGTGATTTTAATGAAAACTACTCATCCAACAGGGAAATCAAATCCTTGTTGGAGAAGGTGTCCAATAATAGAGCAGACTACAATGATGCTACAAGATATGCAGAGATAGTTGGCAGAATGTGGTCTGATGCTTTAAGCAAGCATATTACAATAGACAATTTGCCAGATGGTAAGTTGTATTTCAACATCGCTAATAAGACCATTAAGCCAGCTTTAGAATCTGACTATATGAATGTAGCAGAGTTTACAAAAGAGGTGCAAAATTGGCTAAATGAGAGCGCACAGATAGGTCTTAAATCGGTAGTGCCACCAATAAATGGTGATAGGGTTAAAAATCTAATTGATAAGATAGCCTCACAGGATGAGTTGTTTGGTGACTTTGATTGGTTGATAGGTGATGGAGTGCTTGAAAACTTCTCACGATCCGTTGTGACGGATTTTGTTGAGGCAAACGCAAGCATTCAAAAAGATGCAGGTCTTAAATCTTGGATTGAAAGGAAGACAGGTGCTGGTGGTTGTTGTAAGTGGTGTCAAACTATGGTAGGGCGATACGATTACGGGGAACAGCCAGACGATTTCTTTTTGGTGCATAAGGATTGCACTTGCGTGATAGAATTTCACCCTGCTAAAAGACGAGCAGAGAGAATAACCTATAGTGGAAGAAGAAAAATAACTACTAAACTATAGAACAAATTATACCTTTAAGGGGAAATGAATATGGCAGAAAAGCGGAGAGGTCGGCAAACACCGACAGTAGGTTTTACGCTTCCCTACACAGCGTCAAAAGGTGCGGAAGCGATTAAGCTGTACAATATGACAGGCAGAACTGCTCAAGAGTGGCAAGAGTTACTCCTTGAGGATATGCTGGCGGTAAATGATGACGGCTTATGGGTACATACACGATTTGGTTATTCTGTACCGAGACAAAATGGAAAAAATGAAGTAGTCGCAATTCGTGAGTTGTATGGATTAACACAAGGCGAGCGAATTTTACACACAGCACATAGAACAAGCACTTCAAGATCAGCATGGGAAAGGCTGATTTTTTTATTGGAGTCAATTGGTATAACTGAAAAGTCTGCTGCAAATCCAGAAGGATATACTTCTGGAAAGTCAAAAGGTCAAGAGTTTATCTTTTTATCAGAAGCAGACGGAGGCGGTCGAATTCAATTCCGAACAAGAACCACAACAGGCGGACTTGGTGAGACTTTTGATTTGTTGGTTATTGATGAGGCTCAAGAGTACCAGGATGACCAAGAGAGTGCCTTGAAATATACAATAGTATCAAGTGATAATCCACAGACAATTTTCCTTGGCACACCACCAACGCCATATTCAAGCGGTACGATTTTCCCAAAGATAAGACAAAAAACACTGTGTGGAGAAATGAAAAATGGTGGATGGGCAGAATGGTCTGTTGAAGATGAAACAGATCCGAATGATGTTGACAGCTGGTATGATACCAATCCATCACTTGGATATAAATTAACCGAAAGAGCCATTGAGGATGAAATTGGCACAGATGTAGTCGATTTCAACATCCAACGATTAGGACTTTGGATAAAGTACAATCAGAAATCAGCAATTAGCAAGACCGAATGGGAGAAGTTATATCTTGCAAAACTTCCAAAATTAGAGGGTAGACTTGCTGTTGGTATCAAATATGCCAAAGATGGCAGAAATGTTGCAATGGCTATCGCTTGTAAATGTGCAAACGATAGGATTTTTGTTGAAGTTATTGATTGTAAGGAAATCAGAAACGGCAACGATTGGATTATTAAGTTTTTGAGCCAATTAAAAGATAACTGCTTCAAAGTGGTAGTCGATGGCGCAAATGGGCAGAAGATTTTAGCTGAAGAAATGAAGGCTAACAAATTAAAGCCACCAATAACACCAACAACAGGTGATTTTATAATGGCAAATGCCAAATTTGAGCAGAACATATACAACAATAAACTGTGCCACATGGGTCAGCAAGGCTTGACCGATGTAGTAACCAATTGTGACAAAAGAGCCATTGGTTCTTCTGGTGGATTTGGTTATAAGTCAATGCTGATAGGTGCAGATATTTCAATAATGGATTCTGTGATATTAGCAAGTTGGGCGATTGAAGAATTCGACCAAACACCGAAAAAACAAAAAGTATCTTATTAAGGCATTAGGGCATCCGTAAGGGTGTTTTTTTATTGCATAAATTAACGCAACTCAGCGGTAAAGGAGGACTAATTGAATATGGGAGACAACGAATTTAAGCCAATCACAAGTCAGGAAGAGTTGGATGCGGTATTAAAGGACAGGCTAAATCGACAGAGTGAAAAGCACTCTAGGGAACTGTCAGAGAAACTTGCAAGTTTTGAAGAAGCAAAGACCAAACTCGCAGAAGCTGAAGCAAAGATTGGTGAATTAAATTCAACAATTGAGAGCAACAACACTCTTTTGAGTGAATTGCAGAACAAATATGACGAATCTGCAAAATTGCTTTCGGAAAAGGATGCCACTCTTAAAAAGTACGAGAGAGACTCGGTAAAAAACGCAATAGCAACAGAGTACGGCATACCTGCAGAACTTGCAAACAGATTAACAGGCGAAACTGAGGAAGAAATGCGAGCAGATGCAGAACTTCTCAAGAATGCCGTTGGTCTAAATCGAATCCCACCACTTGCAAAACCTGCACAGGTGGATTCAAACAGTAGAGAGGCTGCTCTTCGTAGTTTAAGCGAGGGGCTAAAGTAAATTTTGTTTAATAAGGAGATTAAAAAATGGCAGTATTAGCAAAGGGAGAACTTTTCCCAACAACACTCGAATCAGAACTCTTTTCAAAGGTAAAGGGTCACTCATCACTTGCAAAACTTTCTGGACAGGAAGCACTTCCATTCAATGGCAAGGACATTTTCACATTTAACTTCTCAAGTGATGTAGCAGTTGTAGGTGAGAACGCAGCAAAGCCAGTAGGCGATGCAGCAGTTACTCCAGTATCAATGCAGCCTGTTAAGGTTGTATATCAGATGCGTGTGTCTGATGAATTCATGTATGCAGCAGATGAGTACAGAATGAACGTACTTTCAACATTCGCTGATGGATTCGCAAAGAAGCTCGGTGCAGGTCTTGATAAGATGGCAATGCACGGTATTAACCCAGCAACAGGTCAGGGTGTGACAGCACTTCAGGCAAAGTCTTTCGATACACTTGTAACAAACAAGGTTGAGTATGTTGGAGACTATGCTGATGCAAACATTGATTCAGCTGTAGCACTTGTTGAGTCTGCTGAGTACGCTGTAAACGGTGCAATCCTTTCACCAATCGCAAGAGGCGCAATCGCTGCACTTTCAACAAACAATGGTAGAAAGTACCCTGAGTTCGCTTTCGGTGCTACACCTGCAACACTTGGTGCAATGACACTTGACACAAACGCAACTGTATCTGCTAACTCTTCGGTTGACAGAGCAATCGTTGGTGATTTCTCGACATTCCGTTGGGGAATCGCAAAGGAACTTCCACTTGAGGTTATCGAATTCGGTAACCCAGACGGACAGGGAGACCTTAAGCAGTACAACCAGATTGTACTTCGTTCAGAGGCTTATGTTGGTTGGGCAATTCTTGACCCTGCAGCATTTGCTAGAGTTGCAGACGAAGACTAATACGAGGTGTAGCCTATGAAGTATAGAAATACTATCACAGGCGCAATCGTAGATGTTAAATCTAAAATTCACGGAAATTGGGAGCCTCTTGTTGAGGAGGCTCCTGTTGTTTCCGTTGAAAAGGTTGAGCCTAAAAAGAGAAGAAGAAAAGGTGAGGAAAGCCATGAGTGATTTCGCAACACTTAATGATGTGATTACGATGTGGAGAGCAGTTACACCAGAAGAGCAGACAAGGATTGAGGCTTTGCTTCCTGTTATATCCGATGGGTTAAGACAGGAGGCTTTCAAAGTCGGGAGAAATCTTGACAAAATGATTGAAGAGCGGGCTGTTCTTGCAAATGTTGTAAAGGGTGTAACAATTGACATACTCTCTCGCACCATTAACACATCAACTACGGCAGAGCCAATGTCACAGATGAGCCAATCAGCACTTGGCTACACTGTATCGGGAACATACTTAGTGGCTGGAGGTGGTACACTCCAAATCCTAAAGAATGACCTCAAGAAATTAGGCTTGCTTAGACAAAGAGTAGGAATCATAGACTTATGATAACTATTCATGGAATACCAGTCGTTTTGATTGAAAAAGAGGTAACTGGTGCTGACCCCTTTGGAAATCCTATTTACACAGAAGTCGAGACAACTGTAGAAAATGTCCTTGTTGGTGAACCTACCACCGATGACATTACATCCTCAGTCAGTCTCTATGGAAAAAAAGCAACATATATCCTTGGAATCCCGAAGGGCGATTCGCATAATTGGGAAGATACAAAGGTCAAATTCTTTGGTAAGACTTGGCGCACATTTGGATTCCCAATAAAAGGTATTGAGGATATGATTCCACTTGAGTGGAACACAAAGGTTATGGTTGAGCGTTATGAGTAAAGTTGTTATAAAACTTGATTCGGATGGTATACAGGCTTTATTGAAATCTTCTGAAGTAGAAGATGAGCTTGAGAACATTGGAAACTCCGTAATGTCAAGGTTGAGTGGAAATTATACAATGGACACTCAAAAGGGCAAATATCGAAGCCAAACAAGAATCAAGACATCTGATAACAGTACATTTTATCGCAATTTGCATAACAATGAAATGCTCAAGGCCTTGCATAAATAGGAGATAAAAATGATTGAATTAACAGTTTTGAATTATCTCAAAAATGCGCTTGATGTTCCTGTTACTATGGAAAAACCTACAAGCAACATCGAAGAGTATGTCGTTATTGAAAAGACAGGCGCAGACCGAGAGAACTATATTGATTCTGCAGTGTTTGCAATACAAAGTTATTCAGACACTTTGTACAATGCAGCAGAACTCAATGAAAAAGTAAAAGAAGCTATGTTGGGCGATGGTGTCACTACTTACGGAATTATAGCAAGTACAGACATTAGTAAATGCTCATTGAATAGTGATTACAAATTCACAGATCAACAGACCAAATCATACAGATACCAAGCTGTTTTTGATTTGGTTTTTTAGTTTAGGAGGACAAAAAATGTCAGCAGATACATCAAAAGTTAGTGCAGGAAAACCAGCCATTGGTGGCGCAATCTTTAGAGCACCTCTTAACAGCACATTACCTAGCAATGCAAGTATAGCACTTGATACAGCTTTTGTATGCCTTGGCTATGTGTCAGAGGATGGACTTGTAAACAACAACTCTCCAGCTTCGGAGGACATCAAGGCTTGGGGCGGTGATACTGTTCTTACTACACAGACAGAAAAGCCAGATACATTCGGATTTAAGCTCATTGAGGTACTTAATGATGAAGTGTTAAAGGCTGTATATGGTTCAGCAAATGTATCAACAATAACAGTTGGAACAGAGACAACCCACACAGAGATTAAAGTTACTGCAAATGCAAAGGAGCAGGAAGAGGCAGCTTGGGTTATTGAAATGATTCTCAAGGGCAACAAGAAGAAGCGTATCGTTATTCCTGATGCAAAGATTACAGAAATCGGTGAGATTTCATACAAGGATAATGAGGCAGTAGGCTATGATGTAACAATCACAGCTCTTCCTGATTCCGCACAGAACACTCACTACGAATACATCTACTAAGAGGTAAATATGATCAAAGGTACTACAACGTCTGGATTTGAATATCAAATTGACGAAAGAATCAAAACGGATTGGAATTTTGTTAAAAAACTTGCTCAGCTTGAGGAGTTGCAGTTTTCTGATTCAAAAGAAATCGATTTTATCAACATAATGTCAGAGATTGAAAAGATTATCTTTGCCGATAAAGGCAAATCTTTTGAAGCACATATCGCTAAAAAGAATGATGGATTTACTCCAACTGATGTTATTTTGAAAGAATTGATTGAGATTATTAAGGGTGAAGAAACAAAAAACTCTTAATCCTCGCCAATATGATAGCAACAGATGAAGATGCCTTGTTCTGTGATTTAGCAGAGACATATAACATCTATGATATGAGGTCGTTGTCACCAAGTGTGATAGCGACCTTTTCTATTGGCTTGAGGGATAACTCAAGAATAAAAATGAAACTTAGCGGTCAAAAAGTACCGCTTGAGACAATATTGCTTGCTAGTGCAGTTGATAGACTGAGCATTTTGGTTTGGAGTAAATCAAAAGATGCAGAAAAAGGCAGAAATAAGCCTAAATCTATTGTTGAAAGCATACTTCAGTTAGAAGTGGATAGTGATGTAGTGGCATTTTCAACTGTAGAAGAATATGAGCAAGCAATGGCAGAAATAAACCAACGGAGGGGTTAAACAATGGCTACACGAATTGCAGAAGCCTATGTGCAGATTAAACCCACCACGAAAGGCATAGGAAAAGAATTAAGCTCACAAATGGGCGGTGAACTCAAAGGAGCTGGTGAAGAAGCAGGAGCTTCTCTGGGCGGTTCATTGGTTAGCAAACTAAAAGGAGTTATTGCAGCCGCAGGGATTACAGAAGTGGTCAAAAGTGCGCTTGATGCAGGTGGTGCGCTTCAGCAGTCTTTTGGTGGTCTTGATACTCTTTATGGAGAAGCAAGTGATGCAGCCAAGCAGTACGCAAGAGAAGCAGCACAGGCAGGTATATCAATGAATGATTATGCTGAACAAGCTGTGTCTTTTGGTGCTTCTTTGAAATCTGCCTTTGAGGGCGATACTACCAAGGCGGTTGAAGCTGCTAACACCGCAATTTTAGATATGGCTGACAATGCAGCAAAAATGGGTACACCACTTGAAAGTGTTCAAGCTGCTTATCAAGGTTTTGCAAAAGGGCAGTACCAGCTTTTAGATAATTTAAAGTTGGGTTATGGTGGCACTAAAACCGAAATGGAAAGGCTTCTTGCGGATGCAGAAAAGCTGAGTGGCGTCCATTATGATATGGATAATTTGGGCGATGTTTATTCTGCCATCCATGTTATTCAAGAAGATTTAGGATTAACAGGAGTTGCAGCAGCGGAAGCAAGCGAAACTTTCACAGGCTCATTTGAAGCAATGAAAGCGAGTGCGACAAACTTACTTGCAGACCTAACCACAGGCGGTGATATTAGTGATGATTTGATGGTGTTGGGTGATACGATTTTCACATTTATATCAGGAAATCTTGCACCAATGGTTGGTAATTTATTGAAATCGCTTCCTGAATTGCTTACGTCTGGAATTGCTATGGTAATCAGAGGCTTGAATATAGTTACAAATAACGCTGATGTATTCATAAATGAAGGAATCCAGCTTGTTGCAGAATTGGTGAATGGAATCCTGATGCAATTACCTTACATAATTGAAAGTGCGGTGAGACTTGTAGTAGCATTCGCAAATGCTATTATCAATGCTGATTGGGTAGGAATTGCAACGAATTTCATAAATGAATTTAAAGAGAATATGGGTCTTGCAGCAGGGGAAATCTTCGGATCAGATGGAACTCTGCTCGATGCCTTGATTGATTGGATAACTAACACGTTGCCAACAGTTCTGGAAAATGGTATTGATATTATTTTCTCATTGATAGACGGAATCCTTGAAGGGTTACCTGCGTTTATAGATTCTCTTTTTGAGATTATAAATACTTTTGTCACAACTATTATCAACAATTTGCCACAGATCATTGAAACAGGAATCAAACTTCTGTTGAAATTGATTGAAGGTATTATCAAGGCGCTTCCTAAAGTTGTCGAAGCAATATTCAAAATTATTGAAAATATCATAAAAACATTTACATCCATCAATTGGAAAGAGGTAGGTCTCAACATTCTTGAGGGTGTAAAAAATGGTATTTTGGCAGGAATTGGAAATGTTGTTCAGGCTGCGAAAGATGCAGCAGGGGCAATCTTTGATGCTGTGAAAGATTTCTTCCAAATTGGTAGTCCATCAAAATTGATGGCAAAAGAAATCGGTCGATGGTTACCTGCTGGTATTGCTGTTGGTGTTGAAGATAACATCTCTGATGTAACAAACGCTATGGACGAGCTTACAAATAGAACAGTTGATGTCTCAGTAAGCAAATTCAATGAGAGCGTAGCGTTGCAAAGTGCTCAGAGCCAATCTTCTATGAGGAATATGCAGAAGGATACACTCACTCCATCAAGCAATTCAAGGCTTGCAGATATGATAGCGGATTCAGTAGCGTTTGCGTTGAATAATATGACGTTAAAGTCAGAAATTACACTTGATGCAGATGATAGACGATTGTTCAACGTGATCCAGCAACAGGCAAAGATTTACAGCAACACAACAGGACAAGGAGCGTTCTAATGTATAACGGTTATTCAGTAAAAATTGGAGGGGCAATTGTAGACCCCTCCATTATTGTTAAAGGCTCATATCAAGCAACACAAGATAGAATAGTCGCTGGTTCGTGGCGAGATGCTAACGGCAAGATGCACTATTCGTTTTTCCCAGAGCCTAAAATGACAATTTCATTCAGTATTCAGAAAAGAACAAAGGAACAGCAGAGAAGCATTCAGCATCTGTTTTTGAATAAGGATAACCTTGAAGTTGAATACTATGACGATGTTACTGAGGATTATAAAAATATCGTCTGCAAGATGGATGATATAGTTTTCAAACATCAGTATGACTGTCAGGATAATATGTTTTTTGATGATACGGAAATCGTATTAAGGGAGTATTAGTATGATTGATATATCTGCAGGAACTAAAAAACTATATATGAACGGGATCACTCCAAAGCATTTGCGGATATTATTTCCAGATGGCGATTTTGAAACTATTGAAAATGACAAGATAGTTGCAGAGTCGCTGGAGTTCCGTGAGAACCTTGTGCAAGGTGAGTTTAAGTTTGGATTATGCCAGGCAAATTATTTTAGCGTACAAATTGCTGAAAAAATTGATAAAAACGTAAGGATTCAAATTGAAATAGGTGTAGAAGATACATATATCTCATTGGGCGAGTTTACTGTTGGCGAGGTAAAAAAAGACAATCAGCTTGACTTGTGGACTATCGAAGGATATGGCAAGGCAATGATTGAGAAGAAGGAATGGGCGAGCATAGAACTATGGAAAAGAAGCCTTCCTGTGCTTTCAACTGTCAAGTATGAGACTCCAATTGAGTATGCAATGATAAACCAAAAGTCATACCCTATTAGCAATCTTACGCCTAAAACATTCAGCCGAAGCATATCTACTATTGAATTTTGGAAAAATGACATGATTGTTGATGGCGCACTTAGAGATGTAATAATAAATTACAGAGGACAGATTCTGTTAAATTGGAGCGATTCAGATTTAAATATCGTGAAAATTGGATATAACTCAAGTGTTCCAGACGCATATAAAGCATTGGTGAATTCTTTATTTTCAAATAATCAGTGGGATTATGTTCACTGGGCTTATGGAGACTTTGCAAAATCAACAAGTTTTGGAAAAGACCCAGTTCTTATGTATATCGTGAGAAATCGAGATCAATTTGCAGGATATAGTTTTGACAAAAATACATTAAGAGTCCAAAAAGCACCTTTGGATGTTGTTTTTTCTCCGTATATAAACGGCAGAGACACTTCTGAAAGATATGGTGAGCATTTGTGTGTGTTAGCACCAAGCACGGGTACAAATAAATAATAAAAACGGCACGATTTACAAATATTTTAATATAGGCGAGGCTACTGTTGAAGCGTTCACCTGTGCAGAATCGGGTGTAAAAGTATCAGCGCCAAGGGGAAATCGAATCACAGCAAAATCATCAAGTAGTAGTGCCACAGCTACAGCATACTATGTGGCACCAGACGATGAAAACAACAAGACATCAGATATAATCAATGACTTCTTTGAGTTAAATGGATTGCTTGGTAGAGCAAAGAGAAATGGTGATTATGAGTTTTTTGAGTTTGGAGAGTTTATAGACCCACTATATCCAAGTGACAATATATTCCCTGATGATAACTTATATATGATTGAAGGCAATTCTGAAATCATAGCAAATGACAAGATTGAGCGTGTGGAGTTTTATGAGGACACCGAAGAACCATTCGGAGCAGTTTTCTATGATTATATAGATACAAATAATCAAAAGGCTGTAGGGCTTTATCAGTTCGATGCTCGATATAATAAAGCTTATTATTTGCAGAACAACAAACTCATTGCAGATTCTCCAAGGACACAGACGCAGATTAACGCCACTTTGGATGCCGTGTTTATTCCAAAGTTAAGAAAGATTAAATGGGCGAAGTTCAAGGCTGATACCGTGGGTATGCCTTGGCTTGAGAGTGGCGATAGGATAAATGTTGTCACACAGAATAAGTCTGTGCATAGTTATGTATTCAATCGCACCTTAAAGGGAATCCAAGCACTTATGGATGAAATAGACACCAATATCAACTATAGCGATGTAAACGCTATTGCTACAACGGAGGGTTAAAAATGTATACAAGAGTAAACTGGCAAAACGGAGAAACAGGCGGTACACCACTAAATGCCGACAATCTCAACCAGATGGACGAAGGCATCTATGCAGCAGAACAGAAGGCTTCGCAGAGTGCTTCTGCTGTTGAGACTATCCAACAGGATGTTACGGAGATTCAAGAAGCTGTTGGAGAGATTGTAAGCGATATAAGCACTATCCAAAGTGATATAACAACCATTCAAGGTGATGTGGTTGAACTGCAGGAAGGCAAAGCCGACAAGACAGAAATCACAAGACTTGAGAAGAAAATCGAAAACCGCATCAGTGCAGGTGCATCAGCAACATCGTTTAATCTTCCAACCGTTGAAGGTGGTATAAGGCTTAATAGGGTAGTTGGGAAGAGTTATAAGTCGAAGAATATCCTAAATATAACCTTTGACACAACAACGATAAATGGTGTTACTTGTACAAGAAATAGTGATGGAACATATACCTTGAATGGTACAGCGAGTGCAAATACTTGGTTTAACTTGATTTCTAATGCACCTATAACGAGTGGCGTTGCCCATAAGTTAGTAGGTACACCTAGTGGTGGCTCAATTAGAGCACGTCTTCAGGTATTGCCTATTCTTGGTGGGGAGATATGGGCTCAAGATGAAAAAGCAGGTGCAACATTTACACCGACTACATCATCAGTTGCTATGCAATTAAGAGTTGAAAATGGAACTACTGTAAATAATCTTATTTTCAAACCAATGATAACAACCGACCTAACAGCCACATACAACGATTTTGAACCATACGGAATGTGGTCGAGTGGAGAAGATGGGGAGATTGTTGTTGAGGAAACAAATGAAAACATTCTTCCATTATTGGGAACAACAACTCATCAGTTAGCTGCTGAAGTAGATGGCAAATTAGTATTTTCTCCAAATGGTGCTTGGCAGGCAAAAAATTATTGGGATGATTTTCCTGTTAAACAAGGTAAAACATACACTTTGAGTTGTGACACAGATATTGCCGATTCAGTATGGTGGAGGCTTAATAACGGCTCGAAAAAATATGGCGATTATTACTTTAGAGGTACTCATTTAGTACAAACTTTTGTTGCAGAAACAAGTGTTATTAGTTTGAAGTTTTCAAACTTCAATGCTACCCCAAACAGAATAACAATTAGCAATTTACAGTTAAGAGAGTCTGCCGAAGAATTACCTTATATTCCACACAAAACCAACACAACCATCATCACACTAACAGAGCCACTATATGAGCAGAATGTTATTGATGTTGAGAAGGGTGTTATTGAGAAGAAGTACATCAGAGTACACCTTAAAGATTTGACTTGGAATGTAGCAAGTGACGGACAGACTACTTCACACAGAGCCTATGCAAATAATCAAATTCCACAATCGTCAAACACTTCTGCAAGCACAAAGGGAAATGCTTTCTGCTCAATGCTTGATTTAAAAACGGATAGCGAAACTTGGAGTGGTTCTGTCGGAATTTCGTTCCAAAATAGAAACATACAGATAAGAGTAGATGGTTGTCTAACTGTTCAAGATTACACTAATTGGTTAAACGCAAATGACCCTGTGTTTATCTACGAACTATCCACCCCAACCACCGAGCCACTTACTGATGAGCAGATAGAGGCACTCAATAGCCTTGTATCGTTCAAAGGTCGCACCTTGATTGACACCGCTGATGTGTATGCAAAGGCTACTCTTGACCTTGACTATCCTGTGGACATAATCGGTTACATCAATGACCTTTTAGCACCACAGACCGCTTCTGTGATGAATTTATCAGAACCTATCGAGGTGGATAATGAAGAAGAAAGTTAAAATTGACACCTTCCCAAAGGCGGTAACGGTTGCCATTATACTCCACGGATTCATCAACATAGACCTGTCATATCTCCTTGCCTTCTTGGGTAAGGAGACCGTGGCAGATGTTTCTGTGGCTATGGTTACTGAAATCCTTGCACCTATTTGTGTGTATCTGGTAACAAATTGCATCGCAAATATTTTTGAGAAGAATAAATTAACCTTTAGCACACCGTTGAAAGGATTTGACGAGTGAAAGCGCTTTTAATAATCTTATTGATTTTATCGTCAGGACTTCTGCTCCTGACACTTGGATTTTTGATTTTGTTTTTTAAAACTGAAGAACCGTATATCTGGTAGGAGGATAACCAATGAACGATACCTATTTCAAAATAGTGCTTGCGTGTATACCAATTCTAGGCACTATCATCACTACTATTATTATCCCATACATAAAAACCCGAATTGATGCACAGAAGTTAGCAACCTATACCGAGTGGGCTGACAAGGCTGTGTGGTGCGCACAGCAGATTTACACTCCAGAGCAATGGGCAGAGAAGAAAACATACTGCATCAACTTTCTTGCAGACCATTGTGCAGGCATTACAGCCGACCAAATCAACGTGCTTATTGAAGCTGCGGTGAAGGAACTGAAACTTGCAGAGAAGGCTGTGGAGGGTAACTAATGGAGAATCTAACATATATCGCACCATTGTTAGTTGCTTTAGGCGTTCCAGCAATCACAGGAACGATTGTCAGTTTTTTTGTAAAAAAGGTTGATGAGAACAACACACAGACACAGGCTCTCAAATTAGGTATGCAGGCTTTGCTTCGTCACGAATTGTATGGAATGTATGACAGAGCGTGCAAGAGTGGCAACAAGTCCGTTGAGGAGCTGGAAGATTTTGAAAATATGTACAACATCTATCACAACTTGGGTGCAAATGGTGTTATGGACACAATAGCAAACGAGTACAAGAACAAAATACCTTTGAGATAGGAGGCAATATGCTACACGGAATAAATACAGCAGAACAGACATACAACTATCTTATAGACATAGGATGCACACCAGCAGGAGCGTGTGGAGTGATGGGAAATCTCGCACAGGAATCTGGAAAAGACATCAACCCTGATATTCTGCAAATATCTTTTCAGAAGAAATTTGGCAAAACTTCTATGCAGTACCGCCAAGAGGTAGACCTTGGTATATATACTGCAGAGCAGTTTGAGAAGGACGGAGCAGGTTGGGGTATATGTCAATTCACATATCACACCTTAAAGGCTGGACTTCTTGCTTATTGCAGAAATCACGGTCGCTCGATTGCCGATTTGGAATGCCAGTTAGATTATATGATGAGCGTTATCAAAAAGGATTGCAGAAATCTTTGGAAGGTTATCATAACCACCGATTCTGTAAGAGAAGCCTCTAACCGAATGTTATTTGACTTTGAAAGACCTTCGGATCAGGGCAAAGGTCAACAGGACAAGAGATGTGCTTATGGTGAGGAGTTTTACAAAAAGTTTGCCACTCCAACACCTACAAAGGGTGGTAATAGTCCACTTGTAGATTGCACCTACATCAGCCCGAACCGAACAGTCCCAAGACATGACAAGATTAGAAAAATCACAATCCATCATATGGCTGGGAATCTATCTGCAGAAGATTGTGGAAGGTTATTCTCAAGCCCTGTGAGACAAGGCTCGTCAAATTATGGTATCGATTCTAATAGCAAGGTTGGTTTGTATGTTGAAGAGAAGGACAGAGCGTGGACTTCTGGAAGTGGCGAGAATGACCATCAAGCCATAACTATTGAAGTGGCAAATTGCAAGGGCGCACCGAATTGGGAAGTGTCTGACAAAGCCTATGCAAAACTTATCGACCTATGCGTGGATATTTGCAAGAGAAACGGCATCAAGAAGTTAGTATGGACAGGAGATGCAAGTGGAAATCTTACTTGCCATTATATGTTCCAAGCTACTGCGTGTCCTGGTCCTTATCTCAAGAGCAAAATGCCAGAGATAGCAGAGGCAGTTAATAAAAGATTGTAAAATTAAACCCTATTACATTAAATATAGTGTAATAGGGTCTTTTTTATTGTTGTTTTTCACTATTTTTTTAAAATTAGTGAGTTTGCGCTATGAATACGGTGCTACGATTACAGTCATAGCCACGAATTAAGAGCGCATTATATATTCCACCAAATATCAACACGTTCTGGGGAATAATATTCTATGCGAAGAATTAAAGATTGTACCAAGGCTCTTTTCTCGTCCATAGAGCCATTTTCAAAAACATCACTAGCAATCGTAAGGCTATTTTTGATGACCGCCTTATTGGTCAAATTATCGCTTTGTAAGGTGGCTTCTTCTTCTAATGCTCGGATAGACTTCTGCAACTCAACAGACTTTGCATCCAAAACATCAAGAGGAATTGAACCGCTGACATATAAGTCAGTTAATTTCTTGTACTTTGAGCGTAGTGCTTGGATTTTCTTTGAATAGTCCACCACAGGGCGTTCTTTTTCAACAAAATCCTCAAATTTGAGTGATAATATCTTTTCTATAACATAATTATCAAGCCATTCACATTTTACAGAAGGGTTTATGCAACTGTCAGACTTTGCCATTCGTTTTGAGCCAGAACGTGAATAGCAGATATAACAAGGAGAGCAAGTTCCGTCTTTTTTTCGTGTTCCGTATCGACCACCGCCATACCTTGCGCCACAATAAGGACACCACATAATACCTGTCAGAAGTCTTGTTGACCTGCTTGGGTGGTCTGGCATACAGATTCGCTCTAATCGTGCTTGAATTCGGTCATAACGCTCTTGTGTGATAAGAGGTTCGTGTAGACCCTTCGACCATTCGCCGTGATATGACACCATTCCGAGGTATGCTTTATTGCGTAATAACCTCTTGATGTTTGTAGTGTCAATTCTTCCACCTTTTTTGCCTTTTATTCCTTCGGCTTCAAGTGTTTCAGCGATTAGTACTCTGCGTTGATACCACTGCTT